CTCTAGAATGGGGAAAGGGCTAGAGGACTGGTGGGAGGAGGGGCAAATTGAAGTCATTTCTCTAAAGTGGCTTTGTCCCTGCCCTCTGGAAGGCCAAGCCACAAGGCAGCCTGTGGCCGGGGTTTGGCCGAGCTGCTGACTCTCTGCTATCAGGAGGAATCCTGCCCTTGTGCCTTCATGCCCGGGTGCCCTCAGAGGGAAGAGGAAGTGTCCCAGGAGTATGGGGGTGAAAATGGTGCCCTGGCTGTTACCAGACCTGTCCCATCATGACCCTTAGCTCTTCCTGGGACTGAGACCAGTTTAAATAGCTTCTAGTGTGGCGATGAGGACTGGCTGGGTCAGCTGTAGGGGGCTGAAAGAGGAGGGGGCCTGGGACACCCTCGTGTCCCTTGCTAATGTCAAATGGGGACACAGCACAAGGGACTCGGCATGGAACTTCCAGCAGAGTGGGAAAGAGAGAACATTCTTTTTTTATTTTTTACTTTTTTAAAGATGACTGGTAAGGGGATCTCAACCCTTGGCTTGGTGTTGTCAGCACCACACTCAGCCAGTGAGCAAACCGGCCATCCCTATATGGGATCCAAACCCATGGCCTTGGTGTTATCAGCACCACACTCTCCCGAGTGAGCCACGGGCCGGCCTGAAAGAGAGAACATTCTAACAGGGTTGTTTTTGCCCCCACCCTGCTTTCCCTTTCAGCTTTGTTTTGGCCAAGTCTAGGATCCTTCTGAGCTAGTCCCATCTGCATTGAGGGTTAGGGGTCTAAGGCTCACCCAGAGAGACCAAGGGGCAGAAGAACCCAAAGGTGCCCAAAGCCCACTCTCATAGCACATGTGGGTGGCTTGAGTTTAACATCCCAGCCAGGGTCTGGTCAGCTGCCAGGAGGATTTTCTTAGGCTGACGTGTAATCCCAGCACGCTCCTGCCCCTTCAGGCCGGGCACCACTTGTGCCCACCTGCTTGTCCTCAGCACCCAGCTAAAATGGGACCTCTGTGAGACCGCCCAGCTTCCCTATCCAGCTCCCTCCTCCAAGGAGGTAAGAGTTCTCTGTCATTCATTCCCCTGATGGCCCTGGATTGTAAACCTCTATTTCTAGACCTTTGCATCCCCACCTCTCTTGGCTGTGAGCTCTGAAAGAGCAGGACTATGAAACCTATTCATCTTTGTCCCCCAGGCCCTAGCACACCGCCCAGCGCGTGGCAGGGAAATGCTTTGGTGGCTGCCAAGCAAATGTCTGTGTACTGAGGGAACGCTGACCTCCTGGGTTATCAGCCAGAGACATCCAGTAAAGGATGGCAAACAGCCCTCCCCCAAATCACATACTTGGTAGCCTTTTTACCCTCTGCCCTTGTTTTCTGGGCCACATTAATTTTCACCTTAAATTCCCTTGAGAAGAAAGCGAGGTGTGCATAAAGAAAACATTTTAAAGTAGCACATCATGCACACCAAAGAATAATAGTGCTTAAAAATTGTGCCTGCCTCACATTATCTTCGTCCCTGCTCCTCACAGGTGTAGGTGACAGAGCTGCAGGTGCTCATATCTTTAACGATTGCTGTTATGAGGAAGTTCACACATCAGACACTGAGCAGACTGAGCCAGGTCTAGGGAGGGATTCCCTGCAGAAAGGTGGCAGGGACTGGGGGTGTTCCTATGAAGACTTCCTGCCTGCCTGAGACACATAATCTAGTCATCTAGGGCTGGAGAGTCCCCCAAACTGTGATTCCAGTGTGCCACAAGGATTGGGAGCCCCCCTATCCCCAGGCTGGGCTCAGCATTCCCTTCTGGCCATCCCAAAGAAAGAAGGAAAAAGTACACTGGTCCATTTCTCCCTCCCCTGCCCTCGACAAAGGAAAGCCTCTGCTTCGCCCTGCTGCCCTGAAATACACGTCACATCCCATTGCTCATCTACAGGCACACACCGCGGCTGCCACGCACACTGACATGCCCACAGGAACAACTGCTGACATGGCCCAGCCAGCAGGGACACACACGTACACACACATGCACGCATGTGTGCACACACCCTGCACGCTCCAGGCTCTGTCTGACCCCTCACACAAACCATCTGCTCTTCCTGCCTGTGTTTGCTCCTCTGCTAAACACACAGGTCTCAGACTGAGTGGGTCAGAGCACAGGCCCTGGAACCTGCTGCCTGGGTTCAAGTCCCTGCTCCACCACTTACATGCTGGCAACCCTAGGCTAGAAACTTAGCTTCTCTGAGCCTTAGTTTTCTTACCTTTTAAATCGGGATTGCCTATTCGAGGTGATGTGAGGAATACATATATAAAATGAAAGTGCTTAGGACAGTGTCCAGCATGTAGTAAAGACCATAAAGTGCTATTATTACTGTCATTAGAATCATTACTCTTATTACTATTATCCTTCCATCTTTGACATTGTAGGCTTCCATGGCTCTCTACACACCCGCTACATACTCTACACAGACACACTGACATGTGCACCATATACAGGTGTACACATATGGACACATCCACACACCAATGCATGTTCTTGAGCTCAGCTAACACAGACATGCACACGCACAGTCATGGAATGCTAACCGGTGAGGTCCACAAACCCCTCACCCCCACAGATACACAATTCATCTCTCACTGAAACAGGCAGCCCCTGTCCATGTCACCAGCAGGACGTGAGCCTGAGACCAACTGGTTGCACAACAAGCCTTTGCCTGCCCCCCAACATCTCTCCCCACTGCCCCCCTTGTGAGGATGATCCCCAGGACACTGAAGGAATCTGAAGGTGAGAAAAGCCTCAGAGACAGCTCAGCTCCCTCATTCTGAGACCCAGGAAGGTGCAGTGACTGGCCACAGTCATAGGGAAGGGACCAGCAGAACCAGGTCCAGAACCTAGGCCTCCTGACTCAAATTCCAGGCTTCCTCTTGACCCCACAGCATCACTGTCTGTCACCCTTCCGAGACTCTGTGCTTCCTGCAGGTACAACCTATGGTGCATGTCATTCTGATGCCTCTATTAGCTGGCACATAGCAAATGCTCACTGAATGTTGAATGAATGGATGTGAAGGGAGCAAGGAGCCCCAAACACACCTTGCTCGTTCTCCTGCTTACCAGGTGCTGGTGGTGGTGAGAACAATGACCAGGTCACAACACAATTATGCCAGCCCAGACCCAGCCAGGGCTGAACCTCCAACTCAGGCTGGCTAGGACCTCTCTGAGTGGGGACTCATGGTTCCCACTTTTTGAGCCCCCAGTCTCCAATGCCCAGGGCAAGGCCGGGATGTATACTTCCCAGGATCACAGCTCAGAGGTCCTTTCTTCTAGAAAGGACCTCTAGATAGGAATGGGGCCCAAATATACCCCTGCCCAGAGCTGCCCTTCCCAGGGCACCCATTTGATCCCAGGCCAGGCCTCCCAATCTGAGCAAATGGCAGAACTGGTCCCAAGCCCTGCTCCTGGGCACCTCCCAGAGCCACCTGGGGTCACAAGCCCAATATGGGACCATAGAGTGGAACGCGGCACAGCCCCTGAGCCCCTTCCAGCATCCCTTCTGTGGCTCTCCCTAGCCCATCTGAGGGATCATGGACCCCAATTCAGATTACAGTCCAAGAGTTAGCATCCTCTTCCCAGGTCAGAGGTCAGCCTGGCCAGGCCAGTGGCTCTTTGCCTCTTTTGACATCATGTCCTTCTCAGAAGAAAATAACCAAAATACCATGAGAAATGCTTCAGACCCTCAGAACTGCGTTTGAGACTCACCCACCACCTCACCCCTCCCTGCCCTTCCAGACTTGTCCCTCAGTTCTCCTATATAAGAACGTGCCATTGCAGCCAGACTGGGTCCTCCCAGGGCCCCCTACATGTGTGTCCCTGTGCCCAGTCTAAAGTCCCTTCCGCCCTGGCTCTACTTCTCCCCATCCCCATCCATCCTGGCTGTCAGGGCTCACCTACTCCAGGGAGCCTGCCCTGACCACAGGAACTGCCTCCTGGCCCTCTTGCCACCCCTTCACCCCTCTCCTCCCCTGACATTAGTGACCCCTCTTCCCTGGTGCTCCTCCCACACTCTGGCCCCTCCTTCTCAGTCATTGCTAAGGGCTCCTTTTTCTCTCATCCCCCCTGAAGTGACCATCTCCCAGCTTCCAATCTCCCCACCCTGTACAATCCTCTTGGGTGACATCACCCACTCCCATGGTTTCCAAAACCCCCAAATCTGTATCTCCAGCTAAGATCCCCCTCCTGAGCCTGGGATGCCTCCATGTGGACATCCCTCAGATACCAGGAGGTCGTTGTGTTCAAATCTGAATCCATGCTCCTTTCAAAACCACTCAGTGACGGCACCACCATGCACCCAGAGCCCTGGGCATCAGCCGTGACGCCCCCCCCCACTCCATCGCAGCCCTCTTGGCCCTCTCCCCAACACCGCTTGGCTCCATCAACCTTGCCCCACGTCCACAGCCTCCACCCCAGGCCAAGCCACCAGGGCACTCTCCCACTATTGCCTGCCATGTGGCCTTCCTGCTTCTAGTTTTGTGCCCCTTCAATCCATTTTTTGCATAGCCCCCCAAAGGATCATTCCAAAGCACCAACTCAATCATGTTGCACCCTGTTTAAAAGCCTCGGTGGCTCACCAAGCCTTCAGAATCAAGCCCCAACCCCTTAGCTTAGCCCCGAGGCCCTCCATGACAGGGCCCCAGGACCTACCTCTCAGCCTCACCTGCAGCAATGTGCAATCAGTGCAGAGCTTCCTGATCACCACCTCCAGGCCTTTGTACACACTGTCCCCTAGGCCTTTCTCCTGTGTCCTCACCTGGCTGCACTGCTCATTATGCAAGACTCAACTCAATATCTGGAGGGTACTTCCTCTGGGAAGCCTTGCCTGCCCTCCAAGCATGGTTTCAGGCTCTAAGACCTGTCCATCTCCATCCTAGCCCTAGTCAGTAGCACCCGCACATGTGGAGCACTCCAGCCTACACACCAGCACTCTGGGTGTCTGGGCATGGGGAGTGGGGTGAAAGCCCAACCTTACCTGTCTCTGCGGTCCTGTGGGATCCGACTCTCTCCGTCGAGGGCGGGGTCCGGAATGCAGGGGCGAGTGGGAAGGGCTCCCTGGTGTGGGGGGCTGCGACGTCTCCGAACGGCCATCAGCCTGGCTCAGCTGAGGTGGCGGGGGCTGGGGTGGTATTTGCCGCAGGTCCTCCTCGGCCAGCGTCTGCATACCACGTCCCCGAGGCCGGACGGTGGGCTCTGCCCCCAGCCGCCGCCGCTCCTCGCCCTCCTCAGGCAGCGGCCGCAGCTCCTCAGGCTCCTCATCTGTGGTACCCGACGTGCTTGGCTCAGCCCCCGGAGGGAAGTCCTTGAGCTCTGTCTCCTTGTCAATGATGACCCACTCTTTGCTGTCGAAGTCCTCCTCCTCAGCCAGCGGCACCGAACGGAAGGCGTTGCTCAGGGCCTCCTGCTCCACAGAGGCTGACACGTCCATGCGGCCGCTGGCCTGCCGGTCGGCATGGCCTGTGTCCACTGACAGCATCTGGGCTGGCTGCGAGGAGCAGGCCTGGCGCGAGGGTGAGCCGGGCAGATCCATCCGTGACCTGCAAAGCCACCCCATGTGGGGCTCAGCACCTGGCCTCTCTTGGACCCCCAAGGACCCCAAGCAGGTGGCAGAGTGGAGAGTGACTCCTGACACCTCCCCCACCACTCCCACCATGGGCCAGGACCAGTCACCTAGGCTGTCACCCTCCAACCTCACTTCTAGAAAGACTGTTGGTGCATTCATTCATTCAACAAATGTTTTTGAATGCAGAAAATAAACTCTGGTTCCTGTTCCCAAGGAATGCTCTCCCCTGGGCCACCCCAGGGGATCTATTCTTCCTAAAGCCAACTCTGTTCTTATTCGTCCAGCACTCACACCTCCCCAGTAGCTTCCTCCACAGATGGCTTTCCAGCCTCTTCTACCACTACCCTCCAGGTCTGCCTAGCTGGTTTCACTACCCCCAAGATAGGCTTTGATAGCCCTCAGCTTGACAAACTCCAGTGACCCAAAGACCCAAGAACAAAGTCCCCATTCCTTAGTTTGACACTCAAGGCCCCTCCCAGCCTGACTAAGGCTCAGTTTCCCCATTCTCCTAGCCAGACCCATCTCAGATTCACTCACTTTTCCCCAAATTGCCATACTCTCATGCCTCTGGGCCTTCACACATGCTGTACCCTCTACTCAGGGCCTGTCCCTCCCAGTCTGTCTCTCCAGTCTGTCCTCCCAACCCCCAATGGCCTGTCCTTCCACAGGGCCTCTCCCTCACACAGTCTATCCCTCCCATGGCCTGTCCCTTCACACAGGACCTCTCCCCATACATGGCCTGTCCTTACACCCTTTGCTGTCTGACTCAGCTCAGATGTGACCTCTGGTAGGTAGCCTTTCTCATCCTGCATCCAGGCTTAGTCTGCCCCCCAGGACACCCTGTCCCCCTCTCATCACAGAGTGGACCTTGTGTCTGTTTATGTCTCTGTCTCCTCAAGAGACCGTGAGCTCTACCTGGCAGGGACTGGGTCTCATCCGACTTTTACCTCAGGGGCACTGATCCTGCCTTGGAACATCTCCTTTGACATCATCTTGAACTGTATTGTGAATCTCACATTATTTCCAGAGTTTCCCAGCTTGGGGTGATACCAGCCCCAAGGAGAGGGTATTTCTGTTTGTACAATAGCATGTGCGATGGTGGGGGAAACTGGCCTCTCCCAAACACCTGTCTGCCTACTCAAACTATACAGGCCTAACTCATCTGGGGTTTGTGCCACTTCCTCACATTCAGGCTGCAGGCAGGGGGCTAACTTTAATTCTCTCCCAGCATCAAGCCTGTCTTCCTCCATAATGTGTCCCTCCACAGGCCCTGTGTCTCCAAACAAGCTGTCCCTCAACTCAGCCTGTCAGCTCCAGAGGGAGAGGATGCAGATCAGAACCACCTGTGGGGCTTTCTCAAAATTCTCCCGCCCCAGCCTACATGGACCTGCCAACTCTGACTCTACACATTTGTTAATAAGGCTTAAAATAAAACACCCCTGTGCGAGGGCACCGGGGGTCTTGTATTATACTCCCATGTAAATGGCTGATATCACTTCCTTTCCTGAGAGCACAGTTCGTTTTGACGGAGATAAAAGAGGGGAAGGGGGTACAAAGGAAGGGGTGGGGGTGGGGGGGACTGGTTTGTGTATGTGTGTGTCTCACAGGGGAGAGAGAGGTAGGAAACCCAAACCCCATCTGCTTCATACTGTCTCCCGCACCCAGCTGCCCCCGAGCCCCTCCAAACCCTCTGCTGTATGAGATCCCAAACCTTATATTCCAGAAAGTCTCTCCTTGGCCCTTTCCTTTCCTCACCATTCCTGAAACTAGGGTTCACCATGAGCCAAACTAATTTAATTATTGTTCCCTAAAAGCAGGCAGCTCTTCAAGACTGTCTTGTTCAGGGCATTTCCCACCTCTCTTCTCCACTCGTATCCCTTCCAAACTGCCCTTCCTCATTTCTCCATTCCAGAACTTCCATGCTGAGGGACTCCAGGCTACTATGGATGAAAATGGGGTCTTCAGTCCCAGGTAGGCCAACCTGTGTGAGTGTGTGAGTGACGGCTGTCACATCCCAGTCTTAGACATCTCCACACCCCAAAGTAGCAGTTTGCCCCATCCCAAAGGTGGAGTACAGTTCGGGGCAGAATCTAGCACAGAGGCCATGGCTGAGGTAGGTTACTTGGAGACACACTGAGTAGGTACTGGAGAGGATCCTCCTGCCTCCACCCAGGGCTGGGTCTTAGGAAGAGACCCCATCCCTGGTACAGAGAAGGTCCCAGGCCTACTGTGGAGTAAAGCCTCACTCAGAGGCCGAGGGAAGGTGGTAATATCTTTCAGGGACCTCTCCCACCTGACACTCTCTCACCCACCAGCAGCTCCAGTGGGGATCTGGTCTTGGCCCCTGCTGGCCACCCACCACCACGGTCACCCAACCATCCTCCCATCCTCCCCCCTCCTAAAGGCTCTCCTAGGTTCCAAACTCTCCAACACTCCCTCTCACCAGCCAGGTTCCTGATGGTCCTCTTCCCTCTCTGACTTCAGGTCCCTCAGCCCTGACCCCCAAAACATAGCCTGTCCTCTCCTCCAGTAATTCCCCAACCCCTTCTTCCAGCCCCATCCCCCAAAGCTGAAGGAAATCAGGGTCCTACCTTGGCTGCTCTTGAGGCACCTGTAATTAGTCTCTAGGAAAAGAGGTTCTGGAAGCATGCCCACCCACAACTCACCCCTCACCCCCTCCTGGGCCTAGGGTCCCAGAGACCCAGTCTGTCGCTCCTATGGGCTGTCCTCCTCCCCCACACCCTTTCCTGGAATGAACTGGGACCTCTCAGGATCTCCCATCCCTCTCCCCCAGGCCCTGACTCCAGGCCCAAGTATAACCCTCTCAGCACTTCCCAGGTCCCCCAACCTCTGCTTCACATTTGGCCTTTCCTTCAGATCAGCCATGTGAAGGCAGAGGGGACCTCAGGGCCCCTAATCATCCCCTAGCCCCAGACCCACCTCCTCTCATGCAGCTCCACCCGTCCATCCGCTGTGGAGAGCCTCTCCGATTCGGGGCTGTTGACCCTCCGGTATCGCAGAGAACGGACTGGGGTTGTTGGGGAGTCTGGGGGGGCACGCACTGGGGAGCTGGGGACCCCCACACCTCGGCTCTGCTCCTCGTCCACACAGGGAGTCTGCAGGAGAAGGGAGTGCCATGAGCTGGGGCTGGCACGGCGGCTGTGGGTCAGGCAGTTTCCTCAGGGTGAAGGAGAGAGAGGGACGATGATGACCCTGAGACAGGGCAAGGCCAGGGTCGGGGAGGGACTAGGACACGGAGGCAAGGCAGGCAGATGGATGGCTGGGGAGAGGGCATCAAGAGGACAGGGTGAGACTCGAGGGCGGAGGGAAAGGCCGCCCACACCCTTCCCCCTGGCTGCAGTTACTTTGCCGATGTTGATCCGGAGTTTGTTCCGGTTGACATCCGTCTCCTCCCAGACTTCAGCTTCAGGAACCCCTGGGTGGGGGGCAGGGTGAGGGCTGGGGCCCAGCCCCTCAGGGGGCCTCCCGGGCAGGATTGGGGGTGCATTCTCCTGGTCACTCAGGTGCTCGCCCTGTAGCACGTCCTCGGTGTTCTCCCGGAGCAGGTCCCCGGGCACTGGTGTTACGTTGACCACCCTGGAGAGGCCAGGAGGAGGCCATGAGCAAGGCTGGCAGGGGAGTCCTCTCCTCCCAAGGCCCCTCCTAGCAGCACCCTAGAGACCATGCATGGGAGTGGGCCCAGAGGAGATCCCAGCAGGGGTGGGAGTATCCCTGGGCCATCACCACCCCTGGCCCATAGAGCCTCTGAGACCAGACCACCCTCAAATTGGCATGGGCTACAAGGAGATGTGGCCACTGGGGACTGGCACATCACCCATCTAGCTCTATCTTGGGAGATCCTGCTGTTTTTTGAGGCCCTGCCAAATTTCCAGTGGCATTCACTGCCTGACTTCCTTTAGACCCAGGAATGGCTAAAAAGAAGAATCACTTTGGAGATCCTTGAGTAGTGTCTTTACAGAACTGGGCACCATAATGTGCTGGCAAGTAGTGCTGAGTCTTCCTTCTCAATGTGTCTCCTGGGGCCTCTGCCCACCTCTCCGTGACTTGCTCCTGGAGCTGGGTGGGGAGCCCCTTCTCATTCCAGCCCCTCCCTGGGCCACCTCTGTCTTTGTTCCTGTCTCATAATTCTAAAACTGCTGATCCCTTGATTACAAATATCGTAAACTTAGCTGAGAGCATTTTTAGGGCAGGAGCTGTAACTTTTTCCTCTGAGCCCCCATGGTGTATAGGTGTACAGCCTCAAGACATGTTCATTAGATTAATGTATATGAGTGATGAGAAAGGGACAAACTGTGGGGCTCAGGTACTTTCACTTAGGGTTATCTGCTCCCCAGGGGACCCACTAAGTTCAAAAAGTCCAAATGAGGAGGATGCCCACTCTGTGCCCAGATTGAGGGTGGAGATTTGGCAAAATTTCCCAAAGTTCCAGAATTCCACTGTTGAGCAGCAAGAATAGGAGAGACATCCAAGTGTGTCTGGGTAGGAAGAGGAGGAGCAGGCTGGCTTTTAGGGTAGCAGCAGGGGTCAGCCGCCCCATTCCACCATCGCCCCCACCAAGACTCACCCAAACATGGCGGCCGTCTGCCGGGTGTTCTGCTGGGGCGGGGTGGAGGTGCTTGTGGACAGGAGGGCATCTGTGCCTGCCTTCTCCCAGTCAAAGGCCTCATTCTCGGCGATGCCCCGTTCCTTCATGCTGTTCTCAAACACTGACATGATCAACTGCAGGGGGTGGAGGTGGCAAGAGGACAGAGAGGTGACCCCAGGGCTAGCTAGGAGGAAGGGGCAGTTGCTGGGATTGCAGGGGGAAGAGAGGGGCCTTCCAGGACAGGGATGGGCCTAGAGGGGGCACTGGAAGGAGAAGGGCATGATGGTTTTATACAAAAACATGCACATGATATACAAATCAGCACATAAATCATCATCTTGGATTAAGCCCCACCGGGTGGACACAGTCCCCTGATTACCATTCCCAGTCTCCTCTGACATTTCCCTGAACCACTGGGAGTTTCCCAAGCCCACCGCATGGGTCATGACTCTGCACAGGCTGCTGCCTCTGTTGGGGTGCCACTCCCACTCACTCTCCCCACTCTGAAGCCTGAGTCTCATCCCCTGCCCCTGAGCTTCCCTTCCACTCACTCATCACTGGGCACAGTGCATTGGTTTAAACTGTTCACAGGCCTATCTGCCAACACTAGCATCCAGCACAGCACCCAGCTGGGGCCCAGCATGGGGGACATTCCCAGCAGCCAGCACAGGACCCACATAGGGGATGTTCCCAGCTGTGTGGTCGGGGGACCACATGAGACTGAGCCAGGATGGGGGGGCACTTCTGCCAGCAACTGGGGCTCTGGGTTCAGGAGATGGCAGACAGCTATAGACCCTCTGAGGCCCCCCAGACCATTACACTTCTGACTTGGCTCTTTCTAGAATACTGGGCAGGTTCTCCCTGCTGACAGGGCCACTTGATTGGGTGCCTACTGTGTGCCTGACACTATCTGTGCTCCCCACAGTTAATGCATCAAAAGCACTGAGAGCAAGGTAAGCTCTTGATAAATCTTAGCTGAGACTACTGTTTACAAGAGCACAAAACAGTCTGGTGCAGTTAGAAGGCCAGATGGAGATGCTCAGGGACAAGCTAGCAGGGGTGCTGGGCCTGGGCAGGAGTGGTGTCTAGGGGTGCAGGGGCGGTGTGGCAGGCTCCCACCTGGTAATCAGGCTTGGTGAAGTAGTCGAGGCTGGCGATGTGGTCCAGGAAGAGGTGGAACTCTGAGGGCATATGCTTCAGCAGCATGCGATGCTCGTATTTCTCCTTGATCATCCCTACCTGCTCCTGGAGGCAAGAGGGCACGGGAGATGGAGCCCCAGCTGCCCCCACCCCCCTGCCTCCTCAGACACAGCTGTGTGGGGCTCACCTTGTCCTTGATCTTCCTCCAGGGCAGCTGGCCCACTGCAAATTCCACCAGCATGTAGAAGAGGGACCACAGGTCATCGTGGCGGCCCATCTCCTGAGGGGAGGGAATGGAGTCACCCACCTCTCTCAGGTCCTTCCCTGACCCTCCAACACACAGAGAATCCCACAGCCAAAACTCCTGCCTATGCTTTCTCCCTCCACAGTGATTTGCAGTGGGAACAGAAAGGGTGGGATCCAAGAAAAAAAGGAAGAAGGTGAAGTCAAGGAGAGCCAACATTGGAGACTTCGTCCAACCCAGTGCTCTGGGGGGACAGATCCCAGCCCCTGCCTCATTTCCCACCCCCTGCCTTTGATATCAACTTACTACTCTACCCCCTTCTCCAGCTGTGTACTCTACCCCTGACCTTGCCCATTCTTCCCCCACATCCCTCAACCCAGGCTTTGCCACTTACCCGGTTCTTGTGGGCATTGACTGAGGCATAGCGAACAGTCCCTCGAAACCCGGCCACATTCCGAGGCTACAGAGGAGAGACCACCACTGGGAACCTCACCCACTACCCCCTGACCTCAGCCACATTGCAAACCTGCTCCCAAGCCTAGCTCTACCTACCTTAACCCTGACCACCTCCCCCAGCCCCACCCCTCATAGAGACCTGATTGGGAGTAGGCCTGACACACCCCCCTGGGACCTGTTCTCTCACCTCCCAGTCCTAAACCTGCCTCCAGATCCTGCCCACGTGTGGGTGTCCCATGTGTGGTATACTCACGGGCCGAACGTCCCCAGTGGTGTTGGTGTACTGCCGGGCCAGCCCAAAGTCCAGCATGTAGCACTTTCTGTAGGTGGAGGGGAGCCTGCCCATGGCGAAGTTTGACTGGGGAAGACAACAGCTGTGAGCCCAGGGAATCCAACCAAACCTGGCCCACCTCAAGGGGTACCAAAAAACAGTGCTACAGCTGGATGAGGCCACTCAGCCCATGTACACTCCCATATGAGAAAAACGTCAGCACTCCCATGTGTGCAGCTGGCCATAGTATCTCATCTGAGGGACAGGTGTGATTATTCTCATTTTTGAGATGAGGAAACTGAAGGTCAAAGAGGCTAAGGGGCTTCTCTGAGATCACCTGGGAAGTGATGACCCTGGGTTTGAACCCAGGTCTGTCCAGCTCTGGATCCTGGGGACTCCCCAGCAGGGCAGTATGGTTTGGTGTAACTGTCCTGCTCTAAGGCAGCAGGCCTGCATTGTTATTGCTGCATAACCTTGGGCCATTCAACTAACATTTCTGGGTCTCAGTTTTCATCTCTTTACTTATTTATTTATTTTTTGTGGCAGGACAATACAGGAATCTGAACTCATGACCTTGGTGTTGTAAGGCTGCACTCTAACCAACTGAGCTAACCAGCCAGCCCAGTTTTCATTCCTTTAAATGTGAGGCTTTTTCTAGCATCAAGATCCAAGATGCCACAAAATCAACTACTTGGAATTCCTTACCAAGCCCCAGCCCCTCAGTCCCTTTCCCTCAATCCTTCCCTCCTCCCCCAACATCTTCTCCTTTCTAGGTTCAAGGGCTATTCAGGTTAGGGGAGAGGGACAGGGAGAAGGAAAAAGCAGAGGACAGGGCATGGACAGGCAGGAGCAATGCTTCAAGAAGCAGGGAGAGGAGGAGAGGGGCTTGGGATGGAGAGCAGGAGGGATTCAGGCGGAAGAGGCTGTCCCGTGCCAACCACTGTTGTGGAGAAGGGCAGGGTGTGTGCTTTGGAGGAGGGGATGCAGGGGCGGAAGTGGGGGGTGGAGGGCAGTGCTCACTGGCTTGATGTCACGGTGCAGGAAGCCCACAGAGTGGATGGCCTCGATGGATTCCAGGATCTGCTTGCCCAGCCGCAAGGTGGTGCTCAGTGTGAAGGTGCCTCGTGGCTGGCTGCGGCGCAGGTCGGCCAGGTTCCGTCCCTGCGGTGGGGGCAGCTGCGCCTCAGCTGCCATCCCCACCACAACTGTGATGTTCTGCCAAGCCTCACCCACAAAGGGTTGTGCCCACTCCTCACTCATCCTGGGGCCACACTGCCCCTCCCCAAGTCGCAGCCCGGGCACATGGGGGAAAGGGGAGGGAGGACAGGTCTCAGGGCTCACCTGGAGCTGCATCACTACGTAATTAAACTTCTCATTCCTGCCGCAGCCAATGAACCTGCACACGTGGTCTTTCCCTGGGGGCACAGACAAAGGTCTCTCAACTCTTTCTCTTTCTTCCTCACTTCCAACCCTAAGAGGGGCTCCTGGTGTACTCTTGATTGCTGGTACCCCCAGCCCGAGCTCCATGCATGCCTCTCCCATCACCTGCCCCCATCCTTAGCCCCACCACCTCTCTGACACTCCGGCTCCATCACCCCCCTTATGCCATACACCCATCTCACCCTACCGTTGCCAACCCAGCCTCTTGCCCCTCACACTCTCAGCCCTTGGCTCCATCACCTCTTCCCTCCCATCCCCTGCCCTAGGCCCACACCTTGCAACTTTTTGAGCACGGCCACCTCCATCTTGAGGACCTGCTTGGGCTGCTGGGCTGACTCCACCTTGAGGGCCACGTTCTCCCTGGTCAGCAGGTCCATGGCCTCATAGATCTCACCAAAGCCCCCACCCCCGATCTTTTTCAGCTGTGGAGATGAGGGGAGAGGGGGTACTCAGGAATGAGGCTAAACAGCTCCTTGTCCCACCCCCTGCTGAGCTGCATCCTTCATTGATGGGGGCAGTATCCCTTCCTTGCCCCACTCCATCAGTGACCCCACCTCCTCTCCTAGTGCACCAAGGTAGACAGCTCAGCCCATGCGTGTACAACCATCCATACACACACACACACACACACACACACACACACACAGGGCCAGATGTCAGGGAGGGAGGAAAGAGTAAGAGACCTGTGTCTCCATGTACACATGTATACATGTACACATGGAGACAAGCCTATGTAGGATTCTGAAGAGATAATTGACCATCCTGGACTTTTTTCTTCTCTGAAAGGACAACAAATATCATGCTCTCCCCACCCCCTGCCTAGACTGAGCAACCCCCATGCAGAAGGAAAACCAGTTCCAGGACCTCCCAGCCTCAGGGTGGATGGATCCCTCAGGCAAGCAGGCACTTCCTGGGGTTAGCAGTCTCCTGAAAGATGTCACCAGAGGGAGAATATCTGGGGGAGGGGACTCGACAAAGGGTGTTCACAGATCATCCCCACTGCTGAAACTCACATCACTCCCAAAACCAGGGTGAGCTTCCTCTCCAGGGCAGGGGGCACTGTGGGAGCATGGCGGGAATGGAGCTCTGGAGGACAATGGAGCTGGGCTCTGACCTTCTCGCCCCTCCTCCTTCAGTCTCCCAGAGCAGGCAGTGAGAAAGGCAGAGAGGAGAGCTGTGATGGAGGAGGAACTGGCAGGGGAGATGAACTACGGGCAGGGATCAAAACCATTTCAACTCAGAGGCGCAGAGGCTGGGAGGGTGAGGGTGCCGGTGCAAGTGATGTGGGAGCAGGGAAAAGTTGCTGAGTTCTAAATTAGGACTCATTTGGCTTAAGAAAGAGGCAGTTGTGGGACTGGCCAGTTAACTCGCTCGGTAGAGCATGGTGCTGATAACACCAAGGTCAAGGGTTCAGATCCCCATAACCGGCCAGCTGCCAAAAAACAAAAGAAAAGAAAAAGAAAAAGAAAGAAAAGAAACAGGTATAGTTGATTCTCACCTACTCAGGGAGCCGGCCCTCGTAGGTGGCCGCCCTTTTCTGAGCAGCTTCCCGAGTCCTCATTATGTCCTGTTGGCATGTAGCTCACCAACCTGCAAACTCCTGACTCTAAGCGTCCTGCATTTCTGAGCCCTTCCCTTAGCATTTATTCAGCACTCAAATGCCCAGTAATTTTTTAATGGCTGCTGAAACCTGGGAGTGGAGGGAGGAAGAGGACAGGGCAGAGCTGGAGGACTGGGAGTTCCCAGCAGGTTACTATTGAAACCACCCCAGAAAGAGAGAGAAGGAGGAAGAGAAGATTTAGAAGAGAAGTGGAAGGTTGGGTGGGAATTTGAAGGTTCTTGTGATGAGGAAGGAGACAGGAAAAGGGAAGGAGGAAGAACAGTGAGACACCAGAGTCCCTTTCCACCTGAGACAAAAGTTAAAGTCAGGCTCTGGAAGGATTTCAGAACTGGGAGACGGACTCACACTCAAGGGAATCAAACAGTGGCATGTCTTCCTCTGGGGAACTTTAAACTCAGGGGTGATGCTGCCATCTTCTAGATTCCTTTATGGTTTGCTGTGTGAGAGCACAGAGGAAAGGGCGAGGGGACAGGAACAACAACCACATCTCACAGACATCATCTCAGTTGATCCCCAAGACTCCCAGCAGCACAGGTGAGGAAGGTCATATGGTTCCCCATTTTGCACAGAAGGAAAACTGAGGCACAGGACATGCAGTACCTTGCCCCAGGTCACACAGCTAGTAAACAGCAAAGCCAGGTTTCACATAAGTAAACCCAGGCAATCTGATGCAGAACCCACACTGATACAGAATCCACAATGTTATAGGAACTGCATACCACATTGGCATTAAAAGCGTGAATGCTGAGATTCAAGCCCAGATCTGCCGGGCTCCAAAATCCTTGCTGGGGAAAAGGAAGGAAGGCCCGGAACATCCAAGACATTTATAACACCTAGCCCATTTTCCCGGGGAGCCTAAGGATATTTCTCCAAGGACTTCATTACCAAACAGAGCCTACTTCTCCTTCCTTAGTCCCCTCCTTATCCACCCACCCCCTACCCATTACAGACCCCGCCCCCCCAGGGTGGGGAGCTGTGCATCTGCACCCACCCACTCAACTAATACCCCTCCTCCCTTTGCCCTACAGCCAGGGCTGACTTATCTATTAGTCACAGTGACTAGGTCTCTGATATTTTCAGGGGTCAATGAAAATGTTTTAGTTTCTTTTAAAATCAAAAGGGAAAAAATGGACTTTTAGGTCAAAGAGAAATTTAATATATAGTATTAATATATTCCTTTTTATACTAATGCAGTCATAAAATACAATTTTTGGTACTTTATTATAGAGGAAGGGCCCATGAAGGCAAAAGTACCTAGGGCCTACGAGAGTCATAATGCAGCCCTGCTCGCAGCCCAGCAACAGGAATATTCCCTATCTCCCTTTGACAGACCCTATTCCTTCCCTCCTCCTAAATTTTTTCATGATCCCAACCCCTGCTTAAGGACCTCCCTAAACTAGAGGAGAAATATGACACAATAGGACCAACATTCACGTGGACAGAAGGAGACCTGGCTTCTTGGCTCAGCTCTGGGTGACCTGCAGTGAGTTTCTTAAACTCTCTGAGCCTCCACTTTTTCTCCTCTGTAAAATGAAGAGAAATGAACTAGAATTGGTCACAAAGAATTTTTCAGCTCTATGGTCCTAATTCTTGGATGGGCTGATTTTGGGTGACCGCGTTGGCCCAGCAGTCAGACAGATCTGGACCCACCTACCAGTCATGTAAACCTGGCAAATTAACTGATCTCTGTGCCTTAGTTGCCACACCTGTGAAATGGGAATAATGACAGAATCCACTCCATAGGTGGTTGAGATAAAGCATGTAAGACATTTTGTACAGTGCCTGGCAATAGTAAATGCTCAAAACAAATGCTAAGTTGCTACCATTATTATTATTATTATTATTTGTTATTCTTATTCTGAGAAGAACCCCTTTAGAAGAATAGAATATTATTTTTAAATACCCTACCTAGTGCCCCTGAGCCCTTTTCTCCTGGCTACAGCCCATCTCTGGGCAGTTTGTTCTAGGTTCCTGAGCTCTGCCTCCCATCTCGGTCCCATCCTTCACTGGGAATAGACTGAAGGGAGGTATCTGGCACCCCACCCTCCCTAGTTCTCCAGGGGTGGGGGTAAGAGAGACTGCAGGCCTGGCAAAGACTCTCCCCCCAACTCCCCCCTGCCACTTCTCTCCCCACTCATCTCCCACTCCCTCCCTCAGAAAGCACAAGAAAGTTCAAGTCTAAACTCAGTGAGTGTGTGAACATCGTCTTTTTCGCACCTCTTCAACGTAAATATCACTCTGCCTCCAATCTGCCAGAAACTAAGCTCTTGTGCCAGGGGTCCTGGGGGGCCTTGGAGGAACACTTCTCACTTTGCCCGACCTTCATTCCTTTTATTACTGCCCTGGCTTCTCCCCCAGATTCTGTCCCGTTACTCTTCCTTTCAGGAAGAGGCCCTCTGGGACATAAGCAGCCCCCTCCCTCATCTCTCAGACCCCTAGGAGTCTCCTCCTCTCCATCCCCCTCCACACCACACCTCCCCAACCTACAGATGTCCCAGAGATATCTCTGAAAACGCTACCACCTTTGCCTCCCTCCCTGGACCTTTAGGCGGTGGCTGTTGCCGTAGAGACCCCCGCCTGCACCCACGCCCCACCCTCCTCTCCAACCCCGCACCTGTGGTGAGCTGAGCCTCCCCCAACCAAAGCACGCCGGCGGCCACACACGGACGCAGTATAAAGCTGACCTCTGTCGTTCTGTCTTTCTCCTGGCTCCCCTCTCTGGTGCAGACCCACAAGTTCATACTCTGGTTCTTCCCACACTACCGCCCCATAATCCGCCCCACATCATCCTGCCCCCATAATGACAAGAAGACACCAGAGCGCTGTAAGCGACGCAAGAAAGAAGAGTGGGATGGGGGCTGATTTACAGTAGGTCCCGCCCCCAGACACTGCCATTCTCCCAACCCTCGCGTGCCCCCTCCCGTCCAGGCCCACAGCCCCTCGGAGGCTCGGACTACAACTCCCAGCAGGCCTCACAGCCTGCGGTCCCGAGCCGGGGGAGCAAGGCACGCTGGGAGATGGAGTCTCGGCGTGTTGCACCTGCCGCAGGAACCGGTGAGGGGAGGAGGGTGGATAGAGAAGATGGAGTGCGTATGCGCTGCCTCTTTGCCCAAACCCAAGCCTTTCCGTCTTCCGCGGTAGCGAGGGACACATGCTCATTCACTGCCCTTCTCCAAGGTCTCGCAGAGAAAGAGCCCTTCTCCCACCCCAGCCTGCTCCCCACACATGCAACCAGGAGTTGTTCCAGGCTAGGCCGGACCAACGTGACCTAGCGGAGAAAGGAGTGAGAGAGGACAGGGTTGGAGAGAAGGCACTGGGAGAAAGCGATTGTCCACATGTGTAGGCAAAAATAATGACCTGCAAGCAGTATGCAAATGAGTTCAGGGGCACCTTCCTCTTACGGCAGGAGCGCTGAGGGCACCTGTTTTAGCAGATCTCCAGGTCCTCTCCTCCCTCCCCCCACCCCTCTCTCTGCTCCTCCGGGTCTGTCACTCACCACTTTCCAACGATCCTTGACCACGTAGTTGGCCGGCAGGATGTCGGCCTGCTCCCCTCCCCCACTCATGTTGGTTTCGTCCTTAAGGGCAGCCGCTAGGCACTGCATCCGCCAGCCGGAGGGAGGGGTGTCCGCAGGGCCTGCCCTGGGGGGGCCATCTACCTGGGGGAATGGGGAGGGGCTGTGAGTGGGGATGGGCTGCAGACCCAGGACCCTCTTGCAGAGATGGAAGAGGGGAGCCCCACTTTACTGGCAGGCATCCTTCCTGGGCCCACTGGGCAGATGCTCCAGGGGTTACTGGGGGAAGCGTTGTGTAAACACCAGGGTAAAGGTCAGTGGAAGGGAGATACAAACTACAAACTGGAAATGTGAAAATCGGCAACAGGACACACATGTTGATGAATAAAAGAGAGGAAAATGATTGTGAACAGACTGTGGGGAATGCGTTTATCCAAGAGACATGCTAACTAATGTAGGGAAGACTTGCTATCCAAGGGAACATACTAGCCTGGGACTCACGCTTGTGTAGTGAGTAGACCTGGGCCAAGAAGGACCATTCTGAGTGACTAGATTTGTGGTCCCCATCTCCTTCCCTGTGCTACAAAATGCCCATAGAGCTGTGCATCGGAGGCTTTGTGAGAAGGGAAGACCTGCTGACCAAGGGTGACCCCTGGGAGACCCATGCCAGAGTGACCTGCTAATCAATCATCAGAGATGTGATCATCAAAAAAAAAAAAAAAATGAGGAGATACACCATAGCCCCTTGAGGACAGTGTGCAGCCAAGGAGGGTGCAGCTGCTGAGAGGCACACACAGTCCTCAGCAAGGAGCAGAGACCAGTGACACAGGTACAGGGTTGGGAAACGAGGGTGTGAGTGGTGGGCTCAACAGAGGCAAAGGACTCAAGACATAGATTTCACAGGGGCCAGTCCGGAGGGCCGGAGGCAGGCTGAACTGGGGGAGCAGGGAAGTGGGAGCAGCCCAGCAGAAGGCAGGAGGAGTGACAGGAAGCAGCAGGTCTGGGTGAGTATGGGGTGAGAGCGCCCCTGACCACACCTTTCTGTGTCTGCTCAGGAATTGACAAGAAGGAACACAGTTCTTGTCTCATTAGGAGGGGTGGAAGGTGGCTATCAGGGAGAGTTTCCCAACAGTGAGGGCAGGGAAAGCCAGGCACGTGTGATTCAGGGAAATGTTAAGTGTGTGGATATCTGTATGTCTGTGTGTGTATCTGTGGATGTAGCTGGCTGTGTGAGTGTGTATGTATCTCAGTGTGTCTTTCTGTGTCTGTGTGTCTGTATGTGCTTGCGTCAATCTGTATGTATGTCTTTGTGTCTATATCTGTAAGTCTGTGTGTGTTTGTGTTTTTGTGTCTGTCTCTATATGATGTGCATGTGCGTAGGCAAGGGGCCAGAAGAGATGACTTCCTGAGATCTCTGCCAACCCAGGACAGGATTTGGAACCAGGATATTTTCCTCTCTTCTTCCCTCTGCACTTTTTGCATGCACATTGCTGTGCCCTCACAATGACCCAGGAGAGTCACAGATAGAAGAGAAAGAAGGAAGACTGGGAATGGGGGAGAAGTGGGAGAGAAGGAAAGTGGCAAAGATATCTATATGTGGTGGGGACTACATAAACCTGTCTTTCCTTGGGATGGGATAATTTCCCAGGGCTCCTGTGTCTAGACATCCTGATACCAGGGGCAGCGTGTGATGTGAAGGCATGGAAACAACCTTCAACAGGTCACAGTGTGCCATGGGGGACATGTGGAGATGGGATCTTCATGGGGAGGGACGCCGTCACTCCTTTTCTTCAAATGACCAAGCTGCAATCCATACAACTTCAGAGTATCAGGACTCTGCCCTCCTTCTGCCAAAGTGGTGTATGGGGCATCAGGAATGGGAGGGCAGTGAGGGCAATGGTAGGATGAAGGGAGAGGTAGGGATGGGGGTTCTGGAATAAAGGTGGAGGAGACAGGTTGAGGACAAGACTGAAGAAGTCATTAAACTGGTGGGGAGCCAGCCTTAAGAAGTTGCACTGGGTGACCTCTGGTGGGCCTTCCAGTCCTCTGACAGTGGATTCTGTACGCTGATGAGGAAAATTTGTGTCCTGCTCCCATTTTGTAGATGAGCAAACGTAAAAGAAATAGGAAGTGGGGAAAGGGAAAGTGGAGGCAGGAGGATAAATGAGGGTTACCTGCCTCTCCCTGTCCACCATTCTTCCCACTGTCCGCCTTGGAGGACTCAGCTCAGACTGGGTTGGACGACACAAACATGACAAACTTGGCTGCCCCATTACTGCTGCCTCAGGCTCCTTCGTGTGTGTGTGTGTGTGTGTGTGTGTGTGTGTGTGTGTGTGTGTGGAGGCACAGGTGCATAGTGAGAGAGAGGGCTTACGGAGGAGGTTTTTATGAATATCCGTGAGAGTGCACATGTATAAGAGTGTGGGGCCAATGTGTGTGCGCACACCCGTGCCAGTGTGACAGAGACAGAGAGACACAGAGAGAGAGGTGTGTATCTAAGTGGTTGGGAGGTGAATATAAGTGTTGATGTGTAACTGTGCAAGGTGTGAGCCAGGTGTGTGTGGGAATCTGGGAGCCCAGGTAAGGAGAGGTGGAGGAGACCAGTGAGGGATAATAGGAACAGGTGAGGAGAGGTGTGGAAGGAGGCAGCGGGGGATGGAAGGCGTGAGGGGTGACAGGATCAGAAGAGCGGGGTGGTAAGATAGAGACAGGTGAGAGCTGGTGACAACTGAGGAAGTGACTTGACCACGAGAGGGGTTTCTGGACACAGTCAAGGGGTTGAAGAAGTAGGTAAGGAGGTTAGTGGGAGGAATGGGGGGACGGAGGCCAGGGGGAGAGGTTAGGGAGACGGCTGCATGACTTGACAGGGTGACAGGAGAGTCAGGGGTGAAGCCACAGGGACAGGGGACGGAGGTGAGTGGTGAGGAGCGAAATCCCTGGAGGCCCGGCGGGGGAGGGTGGGAACGTGTGCCGGGCAGGGAGCGGCTCCAGGCCTCGGGCTGCGGCCCAGGCGGTGTAGGCCAGCGTCCCATCCCGGGCGGGCGGCGACGGCAGCGGGGAGGGGAGCCCGGCGGGAGGTGAGCCGGGCGGGAGGCCCGATGAGCCCCCAGAAGGAGCCCCTCCCGACCCC